TAACTTAAAGGCTTCCGTAGCTATCATTCTGTACGCAGAGGTAATACAAATAGCTGCTCAACCCAACCCAACCCAACCAATCCCAACTCAATTCAACCCAACTCAATTCAACCCAACTCAATTCAACCCAACTCAACCCAACTCAACCCTTTTTTTTCTCCTCTCTATCTCTTTGTCTCCCTCATACCTTTCTTAAAGCATCAGAATTCTTCCTCTCGTTGAAGATCCCTTCATCTCCCCCCTTTTCCTCCTCTATCTCCTCGACTGGTCAATCAGTCAATACTTCCTTCCGCTTCTTCCACGATTTCTCTCCCCCCGTTTGGACACATAAGAGGTCTTACTTTTTGAAAAGTTAAAAATTTTACTCTTACCCGGATGGAGGGGATTGCTCCCCTTCTTCCTCCCGGAAATGGAAACACGTCTCTCTACCTCCTACTCCTCCACTCAAACTCTTTCTTCTTCCTCTTCCTTCCACCTCTTCCCTGGTCTCTCATCGTCCGTTGGGAAACATAAAAGATCTTACTTTTTGAAATATTAAAGTTTTTACTCTTACCCGGTTGGAGGGGATTGCTCCCCTTCTTCCTCCCGGAAATGGAAGCACGCTTCTGCATTTACTACTCCCCCGTTCAAACTTCCTCTTCTTCTCCCTTCCACTTCTTCCCTGGTCTCTCATCGTCCGTTGGGAGACATAAATGATCTTACTTTTTGAAATGTTAAAGTTTTTATTCTTACCCGGATGGGGGGATGCTCCCCCTCTTCCTCCCGGAAATGGGGAACGCCTCTTTCTCTATTCCTCTCTACTCTCTTGTTCCTCCTTCCTCTCTCTCTCCGGTCTATCTCCCGGATGACGCTTTCCCTCCTTCCTCCTTCTTGTCAGGTTGTTCTCCAGTACATACAAAATGTTACTTTTTGAAATACTATTAATTCTGTACCTACCCGGATGAGGGGGGATTGTGTCCCCCCTCTCGTGTTGCCTCCCATTTGTATTCATCCCTCTCCTTGATCTTCATGATTTCCCTCAGCATTTCCCAACTCAACCCAACTCAACCCAACTCAACCCAACCCAACCCAACCTAACACCTTATTTTGGAGATGAGAAAATAAACTCTTCCTCATTTCGAATTTTTGTTCTGCATTCTTCTCCTCTCCTATATACAAGGTAATTCAAATTCGACCCCCATTAATATAATTCAAACGACTAGATCCAAAAACTTTGTTGAAAAATGATGTGCTCTAAGATACGCAACTTTGCCCCCATTTAACCATTTCTGTATTTCTTATGGTTTCTGAGATCTCAATGGTGGGGGTCGAATTTGAATCACCCTGTATATACGGTCTCTGTTCTACTAATAGATCCATTCCGGTTATAACCTTTATCGCTGTTATCAACACTGCTTTATAAGCGTATGCTATTCTTATTACTAATCTCTCATCGATGCTAGCTAACATATAATGCTCGAAACCATGTTGATGAAACATACAAAATTCTCCGAGACAATGAATCTCTGACATTTAACATCATTTTTGTTAAAACATTTATCATTAACGAGGCCTTCTCCAAGACATGTCTTAGAATCTTAAATACTTGATTGTATCGGAGCTGGTTATGAACAATTTGGTTTTACACATTTTGGCCACGCAACAGAAAGATAATATCTCTTCAGCGGGTAACTCCTCAAATACGATACTCGAATCGGACTGAACTGATGAGCAGAAATTCATCACACATTACGTTCTAAAACATGGTGTTCTCAAATCACAAAGCAGAAAATTGGATAGCTATGAGGTCTATGAGTTAGGTTCGTGTGATCTGCAACTAAGTCAATCTAGGACACTGGAATTACAAAACCTAACTTAAAGGATTCCGTAGCTACCGTTCTGTACGCAGAGGTGACACAAATAGCTGCTCAACCCAACCCAACCAATTCCAACTCAATCCAACCCAACTCAACCCAACACCTTATTTTGGAGATGAGAAAATAAACTCTTCCTCATTTCGAATTTTTGTTCTGCATTCTTCTCCTCTCCTATATACAGGGTAATTCAAATTTAACCCCCACCAAAGTTTGTAAAAACCATCTTAAATCAGTATTAGTCTACTATTTTAATTCTAATGACAAAGAATAGTGACATTATTCTTTTATTTCGAAGTATTCTTCATAAGTATTGTTTGTTGGTTTCTATGGAAACACTTAGCGCACAAGTTACAGCCTACTAATAAGATATTCGTTTTGACATTTTTCATAAAAAGTTGCCTTAAAAATGTTTTTTCAGATTCACGAAAAAACGAAAAATAAAGAATTTATAGGCAAAAAACGAAAAAGTCATTTTTATGTTTTTCGGACATATTTTAAAAACTAAAACGACTAGATCCAAAAACTTTGTTGAAAAATGATTAGCTCTAAGATACGAAACTTTGCCCCTATTTAACCATTTCTGTATCTCTTATGGTTTCTGAGATCCCAATGGTGGGGGTCGAATTTGAATTACCCTGTTCGAAATTTTGTTCTACATTGTCTCCCTCTTCTATATATATGCGGTCTCTGTTCTACTAATAGATCCATTCCGGTTATAACCTTTATTGCTGTTATCAACACTGCTCTATAAGCGTATGCTATTCTTATTACTAGTCTCTCATTGATGCTAGCTAACATATAATGCTCGAAACCATGTTGATGAAGCATACAAAATTCTCCTTTTTGTTAAAATGTATATCATTAACGAGGCCTTCTCCATGACATGTCTTAGAATCTTATTGTTAAATACTTGATGGTGGGTTGATAGCTGGTTATGAATAATTTGGTTTGCACATTTTGGCCACGCAACAGAAAGATAATATCTCTTCTGCGGGTAACTTCTCAAATACTAGACTCGAATCGGACTGAATTGATGAGCAGAAATTTATCACACATTGTGTTCTAAAACATGGTGTTCTCAAATCACAAAGCAGAGAATTGGATAGTTGTGAGGTCTATGAGTTAGGTTCGTGTGATCTGCAACTGAGTCAATCTAGGATATACTTAACGGCTTCCGTAGTTTCCGTTCTGTACGCAGAGGTGATACAAATGGCTGCTCAACCCAACCCAACCCAACCCAACTCAATCCACAGTAACTCAACCCAACCTACACCACACAACTCAACCCAACCCAACCTGTTTTTGCGCTGGAGATGAGAAATTAGTATGATATAGCGCCGTGAATCAAAACCTAAAAACTCTTCCCCATTTCTTTCTTTTCTAGAATTTAAGAATCCTGAGGTTGCTATTGTATTCCTGCAGGCTACTTATGAAAAAAGCTGTTATTATTTGTTATTCCCCCTCTCATCTCGCTCCTTAATCTTGAATATTTCTATTAGTAGCCCCATTAGCATTTCTCGTTCCACGCAACCAAGTCATATTGGGGGCATCCAACTAGGTCTTCAACGACCTTCGTTGCTGCTGTTCTGCCGTGGTTTCAGCATTTTCCTATAATTGCTATGTTTCAGCGATGTCTCTCATCCTTATTATATTGGGTTCCAACCCAAAAATTTTTTTTATTATATGTTACATATTTTTGAGGATTTAGAACTTTGCTTGAAGATTGAACCTTTGCTATCATGCGGCTGGATGCTGTCGGATTTACTTCTTTCTTGGGATGGCACACTTATAGTCTCCATAGTCTCACACTCCGGAAGTGTGGAGACTATTGCTGCCTCCACACTTCCTTTATTCCCTGCCTTACATATTCTTCCTGTATTATTATCTCGTTCATCATTTTCTTGCCAACCTACCATGTTATCCGGTTTTAACCAAGCCGTGCAAGTCCCAAATATCTCGTACATACTGAAATCTGTGCCAGAAAGAAATTGGGACGAGGTGTATCTCGATATTTATTTTTCAACATCAATTTGATTCGAAATTTTGTTCTGCATTGTCTTCCTCCTCTATGTATATGCAGTCTCTGTTCTACTAATAGATCAATTCCAGTTATAATCTCTATTGCTGCCATCAACACTGTTCTATAGGCGAATGCTATTCCTATTACTAGTTATGAAGCTAGTTATGAATAATATGATTTTACACATTTTGATCCGGAGAAAAACTCGTTTATAACATTTTTTTGTGATTTTGATGGATTAATGATTTCGAAACGATTATTATTGTTGGTTTTGAAAGTTTTGGGATAAAAATATTATTTACAATTCCGAACCCGCTTTTAGATATAATAAATTCATAAGGTCTCAATAGAGGGTGAGCATCTCGCCGCCACTTTCCGGCGGAACTGTTCCGGTCGCGACTACTGACGAAGATGGATCGCCCGGAGTAGATCAATTGAATTTTCTTTCCGCCGCCGCCTCTTGGTTTCCGTTTCTGGCGTACACAAAAACAACCCCTTAAGAGTCCTCGTGGAATTATACATCAATCCGATGGTTAATACAAAAATGAAGAATTTTCTAAACAATTTGAATGAACCATAAAAGTCGTTGTAAATAATAAGTTTAAAAAAATCATTATATCATATTATAGTAAAAAATGAAATGTAATAATTAATAATTAATACATGCGATATACAATTATCGCTAGTAGCGACACCCTTCGGTAAACCCTCGTACTTAGTTGCGGATCGAGGAGAAGTAGGAAAGCTCGAGGCTACCATCTAGTAACGGAATCCCGAAGTAACATGATAGGTGGTTGTTCGAAACGGTATCGACATGTCGATTTGTAACAGTCGAATCTAAGCGAAAATCACCCTTAAGATTTAATCAAAAAAAATCAACCCATAATTTAAACTTGTACCTTTAAAATGATGTACAACAACTGCATAACATTCACGTTAACATAATTATGTTTAAAAAGAAAAATTAAAAAGTAATAAATGTTTGAAATTACAAAAATAAGGGTGGTTAAAAGAGAAAAAATGAAGCGACATCTATGAGAGATGAGTAAGAATGATGGTTTAAGGGTTGAAAAAATCGGTCGATAAGATCTTGTGTTAATTTATCTTTATTACCCCATCTCGATAATAAATAGTATTACAAATAGCTGTGAAATCGACGAAAATTAAGTTAAATTATGTTTTTAAAGTTGGGTGGTGAATCTTCTTTTGGAAAATAAATTTAATACTCGCGCGGTCTGAGGGTGCACACACAGAGGCTTATGACTAATGCGACCAATTACCAGTAACTACTGCTAATAGCCGATTATGGCATATTTTCCTCTTAGTCCTTTCCCGACGACGTTCAGAATTTTAATGATCGGAGCCGGCTGCTGCGAAAGTGGCGGGATTTTTAAAAGTTGCCCCGAGCAATTATTGGATTCCATTGAGATAGTGAGCGACCAAACGGGGTCCGAACCGTCTCGCGAAGAGGTCCCTCGACTTTGCGACCAATTTATCATGATTCCATGGCCGATTAATTAAATGGTCGGTACCAGGTTTACTGGTTCGTTTTGTCGTTCCTTTGTTTAGTAGAGAATCCTACTCTTGGTCTCATTCGTTTCTCTAAAAAGTAAAAAGTGTAAATTAAAAATATATATTTACTAGTAGTCAAGAGTAATTAAGCTTTATTCTGAAACGCAAGAAAAAAAGATTAATTAATTTTAATTAAGTCTAATGATTATCGAGATGAAAAAAAAGATTGTAATCGCTTCTTTTGATAAATAAAAACAATAAATTGGTTAAATTAAAAAAAAATAATACAAGTTTATATTTAGGAATTATAATAAGGAATTATAATAGGTTTTATATTCGTGGAATTGCAGAAAAGGGGTACTTGGGTATTTAGAATACTTCATATGAATTTCGGTCTAGTTAATTCAAATCTGAAACATAAATTTCAGCAAACTAATATAAACACTGTTTTAAAGAGAAATGTTTCAGCTTTAATTTGGTATAAAACTAGTTTCTTAATATTCATAAATAAACTCACCAGGAATTATTAAAATTTTAATTAATTTAACATTTTTAGATTCGTTAGAAAAATCAAGGTTTTCTTTCCCAACATTTTTCTTAAAATTTTTCTTATCTAACATACCCTTTCTTATAGACTGTTTTAAAGAGAAATATTTCAGCTTTAATTTGGTATAAAATTCGTTTCTTAATATACATAAATAATCTCACCAGGAATTTTTAAAATTTTAGTTATTTTAACATTTTTAGATTCGTTAGAAAAATCAAGGTTTTCTTTTCGAACCTTTTTCTTAAAATTTCTTTGATCTAACATACCCTTTATTATAGACTGTTTTAAAGAGAAATGTTTCAGCTTGAATTTGGTATAAAATTCGTTTCTTAATATTCATAAATAATCTCACCAGGAATTATTAAAGTTTTGATTATTTTAACATTTTTAGGTTCGTTAGCAAAATCAAGGTTTTCTTTTCGAACTTTTTTCTTAAAATTTCTCTGATCTAACATATTCTTTATTATACACCGTTTTAAAGAGAAATGTTTCAGCTTTAATTTGGTATAAATCTCGTTTCTTAATATTAATAAATAATCTCACCACGAATTATTAAAGTTTCAATTATTTTAACATTTTTAGGTTCGTTACAAAAACCAAGGTTTTCTATCCGATTTTTTTTCTTAAAATTTCTCTGATCTAACATACCCTTTATTATACACCGGTTTAAAGAGAAATGTTTCAGCTTTAATTTGGTATAAATCTCGTTTCTTAATATTAATAAATAATCTCACCAGGAGTTATTAAAATTTTAATTATTTAAAATTTTTTAGATTCGTTAGAAAAATCAAAGTGTTCTTTTCGAACCTTTTTCTTAAAATTTCTTTGATCTAACATACCCTTTCTTATACACTATTTTAAAGAGAAATGTTTCAGCTTTAATTTGGTATAAATCTCGTTTCATAATATTAATAAATAATCTCACCAGGAGTTATTAAAATTTTAATTATTTTAACATTTTTAGATTCGTTAGAAAAATCAAGATTTTCTTTACGATCTTTTTTCTTAAAATTTTTCTTATGTAACATATACTTTATTATACACTGCTTTAAAGAGAAATGTTTCAGCTTTAATTTGGTATAAAACTCGTTTCTTAATATTCATAAATAATCTCACCAGGAATTATTAAAGTTTTGATTATTTTAACATTTTTAGATTCGTTAGAAAAATCAAGGTATTCTTTTCAAACTTTTTTCTTAAAATTTCTCTCATCTAACATATCCTTTATTATACACCGTTTTAAAGAGAAATGTTTCAGCTTTAATTTGGTATAAAATTCGTTTCTTAATATTCATAAATAATCTCACCAGGAATTATTAAAGTTTTAATTATTTTAACATTTTTAGATTCATTAGAAAAATCAAAGTTTTCTTTTCGAACCTTTTTCTTAAAATTTCTCTCATCTAACATACCCTTTATTATACATTATTTTAAAGAGAAATGTTTCAGCTTTAATTTGGTATAAAATTCGTTTCTTAATATTCATAAATAATCTCACTAGAAATTATTAAAATTTTAGTTATTTTAACATTTTTAGATTCGTTAGAAAAATCAAGGTTTTCTTTTTGAACCTTTTTCTTAAAATTTCTTTGATCTAACATATCCTTTATTATACACCGTTTTAAAGAGAAATGTTTCAGCTTTAATTTGGTATAAATCTCGTTTCTTAATATTCATAAATAATCTCACCAGGAATTATTAAAATTTTAATTAATTTATCATTTTTAGCTTCGTTACCAAAATCAAGGTTTTCATTTCGATTTTTTTCTTAAAATTTCTCTCATATAACATATCCTTTATTATACACCGTTTTAAAGAGAAATGTTTCAGCTTTAATTTGGTATAAAACTCGTTCCTTAATATTCATAAATAATCTCACTCTCTAACATTAACTCAGAGCCCAATTACATCATGGATTTTGTTCCAGAAATTTTATGATATCACAACTTAATTTTTATCAAGTATTAAGCTGAAAATTAGTTTCAAAATGAAACCATTAATTATACAAACTACGTTATTAATTTTTGAATCTTAAATTTGTCTTAATTAACTCATAAAAAGTATCAAGATGAAATAAAAATGAATTTTCTTTGCGATTAAAGCAAAAATAAAAAAATGACGAAAACAAAAAGTAATCTCCATACAGATTACGTGAAAGAAGCATCATGGTAACAGATTGTTTCCGCACTAAGCTCTGCATATTCATCATAAGCTTGTAGGACGCATATTATATAGTGTTAGTGGAGTAGAGTCAATAACCAGTCGACTACTGGTCGAGCAGGCTACGGATGGTCTTATTAATGGTTCGATTTTATTAATTGCCTGCCTCGAGCGCGGAATCGATTTTGAAATTGATAACTTTATTAACCCCGATGCGGCGACCAAACGAAGTGGCAAAAACCAGCTGCTTTCTGGCGTCGTCGTCGTCGTCGTTGCAACCTTTTTTAAATTTAATAAAAAGACTACAACCACAATTACACAAAAAATTTTTATCCTTTTCATTAAAATGAATATCCATCATTAAAGAATCATCAACAAAAATTAAAAAAGAAATCAAAACCTATTTTATTTCGTTGATTATCGTTATTAGCGTTTGGGTCGCGACAAAAACTCTTCACAAGAAACCGATTCCCATCATACCTAACGAACTTAAAGGTAACGTAAGAAGTAACGTAAAAAGTAACGTAGATGAATAATAACAAAAAAAAATGAATGATCGTATAATTTTAATAACCTTCTTCTTCTTATTGTCGGTTTTGTGTCTGTTGAAAGTTAATGGAGGAGCGAATCTGGTAATTTTTCGACGTCGCCATTTCAAATTTAAGCATCAACAGGGTGCATTTTGAACGGAGCGATCGTCAGTCAAGGGGGCGAAACGGCTTCATCCCCCTTTCTTTTTCCATCTTTTTTTTCGTCGACATCCATTAGTTAAACCTATTGAAGGAACAACTAGACAGGTTTTTAGTGTTGGAGATCTTTTTGGTCTAGGAGTTTTTAGTGGAGAAAGAAAAATAAATAACGAACGGATCCAGTTGGCATGGACTGATTGGCAAGCTGTGAGCCTGATGGCACACTGAGATCTTTATTATGTTGCTTATCTCACGGGTGACTTTGACGAATCGGTCGCGGGGTTTTTTGATTGAGCCTTACAAATTACCTCCCTCGGACTTCAAAAGAAAACTTCGCCTTTTTTGATTTTTATAAAAATGTCGTTGGATTAGGTAAAGATGATCAATAATTTTACATCCCCAATGGAATTTCCTTTTGGTAATGAGCCTCGAAATGACAAATGTCGCCCAGTCCGGAGGTTTAGTTACTATCCCGTATTTCCACCCTCTCTCCAAACATGGAGGACGGCTGGGATTATAAATCCATTAGAATCCGTGTGTGTTTGAGGGGGTAGTACCTTGGGCTAAGGTGGTGATTAGCAGGAGATCGCAGATTAGGAGACAGTTGCCTAGGGGGCCCTCTAAGCAAACTTCGAATCGAATCCCATTAATTTATTCCTTAGGGATCCGACTTCCACACCACTGCGGGATATGTGTGGGGAAGTTTGATTGGGGAAAATTTCAAATTGCTTTTAAAATTTCATTTACCAAAAAAATTCAGCACGTTGAGAAAACAAGGAAGTACAGCGAGAAAAAGGAATAATTGATGACGACCCCGGATGATGTCCATGAAATATCGCGCGTTTATAAATCAAGCCGGAACTTTTGATAGTCTGACAATGGAATAAAAGATAACATGTTATTCCGCTAATGCGACCCGGTCCGGCAAAAACCCGCAGCGGTAGCCGGATACAAATTGAATTTACTATGAAGGAGGGCCCCTGGACTCGTAATGTATCCACGTCCGCGGTGCGAACTTCTCTTATTTTCCTTCTTTTCCACAGAAGACCAAGACGGTTTCAACGATTTATTTCATGGAACTGATTTCACCACCATTTTACACTCAAAATACATTTTAAAAATATTTTATCTACGACTGCTTGGATAAGTCATCATTACCGCACTCATTTGAGTTACGTAATGAAGTTCATTACCGCACTGGTTTCATTACGTAACGCATTTTTAGCCTAATCAGAACAGACATAATTTATTGAACCGAACAACAATACACAAGAAAAAGTGCTATCTACTTACAGAGAAACAATACTATTTATTATAAACATTAATTGTTTTGTTTTTACATTTTAAAACACTTATTCCAGATGAGTAAACATGTTGAAACTGACAATTCAAAATTGACAACAATCATTTCAAAATATTTTTATAAATGTCAAATAGACTTTTTTTAAAGAAATTGGTTTTTTAGTAATTTTTAACAGTCGTAGATAAAATGCTGTATATCACACGTGGGCTAGAGCATAATTACAGTACTCGTGTGATTACACGACTCGGTCTACGACCTCGTCGTGCAATTCTCCACACTCATACTGTAATTATGTTTCTAGCCCACTTGTAATATAAATAACTATTATCTACGACTGCTTGGATAAGTCATCATTACCGCACTCATTTGAGGTGATTTAAGTTACGTAATG